CCGACATCGAAGGATCAAAAAGCAACGTCACTATGAACGCTTGGCTGCCACAAGCCAGTTATCCCTGTGGTAACTTTTCTGACACCTCTAGCTTCAAGTCCTGAAACGCTAAAGGATCGATAGGCCATGCTCTCACAGTTTTTTTTTTTTTTTTTTTTTTTTTAAACAGACAGGCCGGTATTACCCGATGTGATAAGAGCAGCATCGGGTAATACCAGAATCTGTCGGCTCCATTCTATTGGTGGGGAGCAGCACCTGCCGGGAATCGGGCCCGGCGTCCTTGGAGTACAAGAGTGAGAAAAGCAGAGACGGGGAAGGGGGTATCGGCACAGCCGTAGGGCGGTGTCGCCTGCGTCGGGGTTTGGCGTGGGGCACATTTCAGGCTGTCGTTCCCCCGGTAGTCCCTTCTGCCGGGAGGTGTCAGCACCCAGTCACAGAAGGGGCTACCAGGGGTCAGGCAACCTGCGATGCCCAAGGCCAAGCCCCTCACTCCCCCCAGGAGGAAAGTAAAACATGGTATCTTAGCACCTTAGTTCTATCTTTTCATTCTACCGTATGGTCCCACCTTTCTGAGCCCCACATAGCACTTTATTTCGGATTTGTTCTATTAGCAACTACTTTCAAGAAGCTGATGTCTGTAGGATCGTATAGTACAAAGTGGTTCAACCACTCGGGTCTATATACATAGCCTGTCTATTTTAACGTAGCAGTTGGTGCCGAAACACAGACGAGTATAGGTTTTCACACTTCCATTCATATCTATCCATACCTGTACGTGTATCCTATCTAAATATTGATGCCTGCACAAATCAATTCATATCTACTGGTATCAATACATGTATCCTATCTAATATTAGTGTACTAGGATCCGGGAACGCTGGGAGGTACCGGGCCTTGCATTGCAGGGCCCTTAGGCAGCACTGTTCCAGGTCCAGTGACCTGGCTGGTCATAAATGGTGAGTAGCTTGGCGTACGGTGCCCAGGTCTCCTTGATGTAGGGCCATGCCGCCGGCGACTTTCTCTTGATATCTGCAGTGATGGCTGTTCGAAGATTCGACAAGGCTAGTGAGCGAAGCGTGGCAAAGGAGAGAGCCTTTTGCTGGAAGAGGAGTGCCGTTCGAAGGGCCCAGACCGCTCCCTAGAAGGCCGCTCGGATAGTGTCTATCGTGTACGCTCTGCAGTTGGGTACTGGGAGAGGCGAGAGGTGAGGACCGATTAGGAGGCAGTCTTCCCAGTCAGAGGGGGCCATACTACACGCGTCCCCGCTGATCTCTTGGAGCCACCATGCCCAGAATTGCTCCTGCGGGGGGCAATGCGACCAGATGTGGGGAGCGTTCTCAGGGACTGTCTCGCAATGCGGGCACGCAGTGTCCACGAAGTCAGATCGCCTGGCAAGCCATTGTCGTGTCGGAAGAGCCAGGTGGACGTTGAGCCATAAAAGACCTGCGTGCTTTTGGGTCGGCAGGGCTTGAAGACGGATGTTCATGGTTTTCCATGAGCGGGTTGTCCATCCTTTCGCCAGGTCTCCACTCACGCATCTTCGCTTAGTCCATCGGTACTTAAGCTCCCGGCCCATAGAATAAGGAGTCAGCAGAGAGCGATAGATAACCTTGGTGTGGATGTGGTACAATGGCAGCGAGCGCTTCTGCATTCCTTGCGGTTTCCACGCCCACATCGAGGGATCAAACGGTAACTGCGAGGGCCGGAGTCCCGGCTTGCATTCCCGGTGTACTGCTGCCTTGTTCCTTTCCTTCTCGGTGAGGACCGTGATCGGGCGTACCAGATCCGCCGGTAGCCAGCCATCCCGGGGGGTGCTCCGCTTGAGGGGGTCCCCAATTACTTCCGTAGTCAGGCGATTCTCCCAGGCCTCCACCCTGAGCCATGAATTGCTAAGTACGCCGCAGATCTGGAAGACCATACAGCTCGGGTCCTCGTCTTTCTTGACAACCCACTCCCCCGAGATGTCTGGCGTTGAGCTTGAGGGCGAGAATCCAGTCTTGTGGGATGGCCTGGCGGATAGCGGAAAGGCGTTCGCGCTTAGTGGTTTGTCCGTCCAGTTGCGCGAGGATGTGTTTGTCGTCTTTCCAGTTCTTGGTCTCCTGGTCCCAAAGATCTGCAACTCTGAACACTCCGGCCCGGAGCGAAGCTCTGCCAAATGCACCTTTAGTGCTTGCCCAGGGGAAGGGGTTTCCCTCCCCGTCACAGATGAGGGGGTTGCCAAATAACGGCTGCTGCAAGATTTGGTCTGTCGACTCAGGAGGCTGGATCTGCAGCGGGGCGAGTGTTCGCCATTGTGCAAGGAGCGGGGTCCAAAGGGCTCCACGCTTGAGGTTTGTGAGGAGCGCGGGATGGAGCAGGGCAGTCTCAACCTCCAATGGTCGAAGTCTTAGGGCCTCAGCCATCGTTTGAAGAGTCAGAATCTTCCAATGGGCCTTGTCATCCTCAAGGAGCAGCCACACAATTGTGCGCAGGTGCAGAGCCTGAATTTGCGTGTCAGGGCCTATTAGGCCGAGCCCCCCGTCAGCCCGGGGTTGGATGAGCTTACGCAAGGATACTCTATGAATGGCATGAGCAGCGACCGGGTTGTTCTTCCAAATAAACTTGCATACCGCCGTTCTGTAATCCTGACGAGGGACGGGATCAGGGGTGGAGACAGCTCCGGCGTACCATAGCATCGACGAGGCAGCGGTATTGGCGAGGAAGGCTCGGCCGAATACGCCGGTGCTGAGTACTTTGCCGCAGAGAGCCATCCTTCTAGTTGCCTTGGTCATCAGTCCTTCCATTTGAGTGCCCTCCGTAAGGGCATCTGGCATAGTAATGCCAAGATAAGTGGACGCTTCCGTCATGGGTTGGGTCCGCATCCCCTCAAAGAGGGGGGCCGCCGGAAGCAGTACCACAGATTTGTGCCAATTTAGCCTTGCCCCTGCGTGTCGTTCAAACGCTCTGATCTGCTTGCGGAGGGCTTGGACGCTCTGATGTTTGAGGATGGTGATGGCACCTGTGTCGTCAGCGAATGCCGAGATTTTCATCTGGTCGCCTTGCTGGAGCCTCAGTCCGACCAGTGAGTCATCTGCTCTGAGCATATCGTGAAGGTGCTCAATGTACAGTGCGTAGAGCGCAGGGGACAGGGGACATCCTTGCCTCACCGAGCGTGTGACCTTAAGCGGGTTAGAGAGGAAGCCATTGATGAGGAGCCGCGACTGTGCACTTGTCAGCAGCGCTCGGACTGTAGTGAGGAACCTCAGACCAATTCCTCGGTGTTCCATACCTTCGAGCAGGAAGGGCCATGCTACCCTTTCATAGGCCTTTTCGAAATCGAGGAGAACAAAAGCGCCCGGTGGGTCTTGGCGAAGGGCTTGCCATATGACCTGCCGCGCCAACAAGACACTTGTGTGTATGCGCCTGCCCGGGATAAATCCCGTCTGAGTGCTATTGATCAGCCACGGGAGGTGGGCGGCAAGGCGATTAGCAAGGACCTTGGCAAGGAGCTTGTAAGGGGCAGAAAGCAGCGAAATAGGCCGCCAGTTCCTAATGTCCTTGGGGGAGCCCTTCTTGTACACCAAGATGATAGAGGCCAAGCCAAAGTCTTTAGGCAAGCCCTGACCCTGTTCCCATACAGAATTGAAACCTTCAAGTAGATGTGGCATGAGAGCCTGTGCACATGTTTTAAGATGCTCCACAGGCATCACATCGGGACCAGGAGCTTTACCTGACGGCATGTCAGCCAATGCGCACAGGATGTCCTCTTGGGTGATTGGTCGTTCCAGCTCTTGTTTGTGATTCGCGTCCAGCTTGACTGCTATCTTACTCCATACGTCTTCGTCTAGATGGTGAGCGGCATCAGCTTGGAAGCCTTCTTGTTCTTCCGAGAGGAGATAGGAGTAGTAATCTTGGGCATAGCCCAAGATTGTCGAGGTGGATTCTGCGACTGGTTGCTGCTGATCAAATGGTGGGACGAGAGCAAGCATGATAGAGGCGGGGCGCTTCAGGCCCAGACGTCTGAAGAAGGGCTTGGACATACGTTCTGCCGCTACAGTCCACTGGGACTTGTTGCGGAGTCCCCAGGATTCGGCGTCGTTAATGTGCCACTCATCCCATTCAGCTTTCAGAGGAATCACAGCCGCCCATTACATCCACCATTCCTCCTCATCTTCTTCCGAGATGGGGCCGTCGCCAAGGTCCACCGCCCGCTTAATGAAAGCTTCGGCAGTGGCTCTTCGTGCTCTCTTTGAGGCTAGGACCATTCATTTAAGCAATCTAGTAAGGGCAGCTGTTCCATCTACAAGCCACTGAAGGGCGGACTGTTGAGGGTGTCTAAGGCGCGCCCAATACTGCCAGTGCTGCCTTGCAATATGACAGTAGCGTTCGTCTGTGAATATCCAGCCTGACACCGTAGATGGTGGAGGTCTGGTTTCTATTTTGGAGGGAAGTGCTAACGTGACGATGATCATCTTGTGGTCAGATCGTGCTACTGGAATGATAGAGAAATTCAGCAGACACTGCAAGGCAGCCTGTGACATCCAGGCCATATCTATTCTGCTGCGCCTTTTGAGCGCCGACGACACCCATGTGACACCCTTCTCGTGTGGCCAAAGTATGCGAAAAGCATCCTCTAGCCCCATCTCAGTCAGGGCAGCCATCATGGCTCTTGCATCAGGCGAGTAAGGTTGGCGGGGTCGCTGTCGAGGGAGCGGGTCTGCCGGGGTATTATAGTCCCCAATAATAAGGAGCTTGTCAGCCTCAGGAATATGCACAGACAGGTCCTCCCAAAACTGACATTTTTCCTGCAACTGCGGTGGGCGTACACCGTGGCCACGACGACCCGCTCGGCAGCTATCTCGGCATATATCCATGCCCAGCGGCCCAAAGTATCTGCAAAGAAATCTAGCACCTCGCCTTTAAAGTATTTCATGCAAAGGACTGCGACGCCTGCTGAAGTGCCAACCGCCGGCGCCCAGAGCTGGAATACTGCCTGGACCGAGGGGAGGGTTCCCTCGTTCAACCTATTCTCTCCCAATTTGGTTTCCTGGAGGCACAGGATTTGGAACGGTTCTCTATCGATGAGCCCTTTGATTTCCTTGCATTTTGTCCGGAAGGATAAGGGGCCCAGGCCTCTGACATTGAGTGATGCTACCTTTAGTTCTATTGAGGGCTGCATTGATGGCTACTTGTTGAGCACTCTGTTCCCCCATTCATTTGTGGCTATTGCCCTTTGTCTTACCGTTTGACATCCAAGCCAGCATTTAAGCATGTACGTATGTCCCACCTAAGCCTTCTTGATTGATTGACAAACACACACAAACCCTCTGCCGTTTTGGCGTTGGCCTTTGGCTTGACACACCAGGGATTGCTATGCCTTATTAATTGACCGACACAGAGTTCCGACGCTGCATGCCAATGGTTAGGGCTTATCGATTATTCACCACCATTTATATTATAATGCTCTCACACACTCTATAGAGTGAGCCCTACTATATGGTATTCAAAACTCTACATTGTCTCCGATCCTGATTATCAGACTTCTCTACAGAGCGATGCCGAAGGTTGGTGTTGCCTTGCTGCCCTCCCCCCCGCCGGTCTTCACAGTGTTCCAATCCACAGTGCTGCCGAAGTCTTACACTGATTCCGCAATTCCACAGTGTCCCACCAGCTTTCAGGTGGCGTTGCATCTGGGTGTGGTGTCCTGTACTGGTGTAGTCTTGCTGTCTCCCCACCCTCCAGTCTACACAACGTTCCAATCCACAGCGCTCCTGAAGTCTTGCACAGATTTCCCGGTGTGAGACCGAAGCCCCGATTCCACTGTGCCCCACTGCCTTCCAAATGCCATTGCCTCCCAAATACCCCAGTGGTACGGTGCTACCTCTGGTCACTGGCCAACCCGTTCTTGGCAGTTGGCCAGTTCTCCCACCCCTTTGAAGCCATTGCAAGATGAGATCGCCGACTGAGTGCAGAAATGCCCTCGCAGTATCACGCCCAGATCCAAATTACAAGATGTCTCACCTTCCCACTGCCTCACCGATTTCGTACTGGAAATCAAAATCAAATGAGCTTTTGCCCTTTTGCTCCACACCAGATTTCTGTTCTCGTTGAGCTCATCTTAGGACACCTGCGTTATCTTCTAACAGATGTGCCGCCCCAGCCAAACTCCCCACCTGAC